TAATTTGTGGAGGGGAAGGGGAAAACAAATCGTTTAAATAGAGATACAGGTGGACCCATTGCAACAATGAGATGTACAGTCATTATGTTGAAAACAAACTTTATAACTTTGGAAGGGGGGGCCAGGCAGGGAGGATTGGGGGGGCGGGGGAGGATGGGAAGGTATGGGAAGGGGAAACAAAGGATGAGGCTACAATGCTTGATAAGAAATATACTCATTATCTTGCCCATGTAGTTGTAACCCCTCTGTACAGTATTTTCACAATAAAAAAAGTTAAAAAAGAGACTTCCCTAAAGAAGAAATAAGAATGGCCAATAGACACATGAAAAAAATGCAGAAATGCTCAGCATCACTGGCCATAAAAGAAATGCAAAATACCTCACCTGAGTTAGCATGGCCATTATCAAGAAATTTTTACAATAAAACACACACACACACACACACACACACACACACACACACACAGAGGTCCATATCTTAGCTATGGTGAATAATGCTGCAATAAATATAGTTAACACAACCATTTTTATTGCAGTATTATTTTCCATAGCTAAGATATGGAACCAACCCAGATGCCCCTCAGTAGATGAATGGATCAAGAAAATGTGTTATACATATACAATAGAGTTCTATGCCTCCATCAGGAAGAATGACTCTGCCCCATTTGTTGGGAAATGGAAAGACTTGGAAAAAAAATATATTAAGTGAAGTAAGCCAGGCCCAAAGAAACAGATCCCATGGTTTCCCTCATTTGTAATAATTAGTATAGGTCTAGGACTGTCCTAGAAGATGAGCAGAATAGCTCAATAGCTACATACATATGATCATATAAGATGATGCTAAGTGAAGTGAACTCCAAGACATGGAAACGAGGTTTTCTTTGTTGTGGTTGTTTTAATGTACTATGTGATTTCTTTTTTTTTCTTTTGTGTTTTTATGGTTTCACTGTTTTTTATTTTCATACTCTAGGTATTACATATATGTTTATCTGAATTAGGAAAGGGAAGGGGAACAACAAAATAGTGAGACAAAGGATGAACCAGTGCAACAGTGATACAAGACAGCATGTTAGAAATGAACTGTACAACTTGGAGGAAGGGAAAGTGGGAGAAAAACAAGGGAGGGGATAACAAGTTCAACAAGAAATGTACTCACTACCATACATACATAACTGTAACCCCTCTGTACATCATCTTGGCAATAAAATAAAAATAAAAATAAACCCTTGCTATAATCTCATTTCAGCTTCCTGACATTAATTTTGTTAAGTTGTCTGATGCTTGTTTCTTTCATGGAGTTTCACTCTTGAATATATGATACATTAGTCTTTTAAATCATGTAAGAAGTATATGTTCCAGTGTGTGTTTATCTGAGATGTTGTACTTTTGACCTACAATCCACTTACTTATAAGAGAAAATATATACCTTTTGTCTTTTAGGACCTGGCTTACTTGGCTCACTATATGCTATTTTCCAGAATCATGATTTCATTTTTGTGGATGGCTTTTTAAAATTCATTTTACATATTATATAGTGTGTATTGTATATCTTCAAATGTGTATATGGACATGTAGGTGTCTAGATAAGTATTTAACAATATATTAGATACATATAACTTTGCCCATTTGTTAATTGGTTATTTATTCTTTTGAGCTTTACTTTTTTAGCTCCTTGAACATTCTGATTATTAGGATCTTGGCAAATGTGTCAAGATCTTCTACTTTGTAAACTTTATCTTGTAGTGTAGGAGCTCTATCCTTTGTAATGCCAAAGCTTTTCAGCTTCATATAGTATAGTTTCATTGTCATTTCTCTCCTATTTGCTGAGACTGTGGAATTCATTTAAGATGAATGTCTGTTTTAATGAATTCTAGTGTTTCTCCTACTACTTTTGGTAGTATTTTTCAGGGTTTCTTTTAAGTCTTTGATCCAGTTCGAATTGATATTAATATAAGATGAAAGGCAGGGACCTAGTTTATGGTTTTATCTAAAGCTATCTGTTGAAGAGGTTTTCTTTTTTCCAAAACATATTTTTTTGAAAATTAGATTTTTCTTTTGTTATTCCATATGATTATTTGGATTGTTTCCTCTATCAATTCTCAGTTTTACAGAGAGTATGAATTGGTTAATTGCTGGTGGAGGAATTACTCTTCTATGTTCTTTTATTATTTATTTCTTTTATTATATATTTCTTATAAGCTATTTGTTATTGGGGATGACTACATTGGAGTGGATGTCCTGGTTAATGGGTTGAAGCCTGGGTGCCAAAACTCAACTCTCGCTATAATTAAAGTTTCAAAGTCTTTGGGTAGTACTCTCCAACTTGAGGAAAAAAGCTTGATTTGTGTGTTAGAGGTAATAGTTGATGAATTTTATGCATCCCTATGGCACTGACAACTTGTATCAAAAGCACTGATTTTACTGGGCATCAGAAACTTACTTAATAACAATGTGTGTTCCTGGCTTTTTATCTTTTGGAGTTACAATTTTTTTTTCTAAACACATTTCTTTTTTAAACATTTTTATTGTAAATGTGATGTACAGAGAGGGTACAGTGACATAAGTCAGGAAATGAGTTGAGTAGGATTCCTTTTGAAGTGTCACCCACTCCCTCATTTTCTACCAGTGTTTCCTCTCCCGTCTCCTCCCCCCCCCCACCAAGTTGTATAGTTAATTTGCAACATAGTGTCTACTGAATATCACTGCTGAATTGGTTCACCCTTTGCCCCACTGTTTCTGTGCTTTCCCC